CCCATCCCACCCCCTTATGACAACATCACTAATTTTTCTGGCTCTTTTTTTTTTTGTCTAAAAATACAGCATAATCTTTTCATCTTTTCTTGTCTTCTTCTTCCTCCGCAGGTAGTTAATCCTCATAAATATAGCACTCAGAACGTCATCCCTGACCTGAAATTGAGGGAAGAGAGAGTTGGATCTGCACTGTGGTGTAGCTGTCTGTGAAGGTGGGGATTTGAAGATGACGTAGGCGCGAAAATATTCAGGTGAGCACAAAAATAAAAGAATATTTACATGAGCACCAATGCTTCTAAGCTATACATATCACGTTATATTAGCAATGGCCTACTATATGACTCGGCATTACTTTTTGGACAGGCTAGAATAAATATATCAAAAGTAGTGCTGTCAAACGATTAATTGCGATTAATCGCATCCGAAATAAACGTTTTTGTTTACATAATATATGTATGTGTGCTGTGTATATTTATGTATATATAAATACACACATGCATGTATATATTTCAGAAAAATGTGTTTTTGTTAGATATTAAATATATTTATTTATAATATAAATTATATGAATATAAATATAGACATGTAAATACATGTAAATATTTTCAAAATATATACGGTATGTGTGTGTATTTATATATATATACATAATAAATATACACAGAACACACACATATATTATGCAAACAAAAACTTTTATTTTGTATGTGATTAATCGCGATTAATCGTTTGACAGCACTAAAAAGCGCACGTTTTATATTCTAAATATTCTCACATATGTTTATTATATTATTATATAAGTTTTGCCAGTGCTTGTTAGGAGGGGTCTTAAAAGCATGAAATACACTTTTTGTGGGGACAAAAATATAACACATTTTAATAATAACACGTTTGGTTTAATGACAGACATTTGAAGCGCACATTTTATTTATGGCTTTAGTTTCAATCTCTTAGAAATGTACATCCCTTTCTTGGAAAGAAAAAAAACCTGAAGTTTACTATGGATTTCCCTGTTCAACAAAACTATGAGCACTAAAAGGCTGTAGGCAATTTTCTATATTCTCCTCTACTGGCCCCCTGGCTTCTGACCTATATTCATGCCAGGTTTTCTGGATGATTCCCTGGAGTAGCTTGTGATCTTCAGTGTTTCCATTTGCTCAGCTATGGATCCAGCAACTACACTTGATAGCATGCTTTTACTATAAACAGGTTAGGACAATACCACCCTGAGTCTTATCTGAGGCAACAGGGGGCTATAATTGTCTGAAGCTTATATTAGCACACTGATTTCATTACATTTTTTCTTGGCAGTCAGTGAGCCAGTCATAATGTTAGCCAATAGCCAGACAGCTATTTGGGAATTGTTTTAGCAAACTCTCATTCAAAACTGGCTCCATTTTTCTTTGGAACACCCACTTTTTTATGATTAAGTCAGTTATTAAAGGATAAATAAAGCTTCATTGTATATTATATTCCCCATTTCACTGGGAAAGACACTTTACAAATTACAGTGAATTGTGAATGGTATTTTTATGTTGACTGATGAGGATATGAAGGCCATTATATCAAAGTCCCTTTTAAGGAAATTCTGTTCACTCAGTGGCCATATTTGCAATGGGGAATCCTGACATCTCAAATATTAAATTACATATTTCAAATCAGCAACAAAATCTGAAATGATCTTCCCCGTAAATGTTATTCCTTATGCTCAAATAGCATTAAAAAGGTATTTTTCACTCTTGACCAGCCAATACACATGTGCAGTCATAAGCACGAGTCTCTGATTTCTATGGGAACCGGAGCTTCTGACGACCGCTGCAGTGACACAATGACTTTACCAATCAGCGATTGGCTCTTTCATTTAGAAGGCGGGACATATTTCGCCATATTGCATGTTGCAGTTTCTCCCGTTCATAAGCAATAGGACTGAACCGTTTAGTCTTTGATTATAGACATCCCAGAGACTCCACAAACCATTAGCAGAATTAGCTCTGCTCTAAAACCTAGTGACCTGCCTCACTGCCTACTGTACATTAGCAGTCGCCTTCTAAAAGTGCAATCAATTTTTGGCAAATTTCGTGCCCAAAAAGGGTCAATTTTCTATTGTTAATAGTGTAGCAATGCACAAAGCATTGCGCACACCAGTCACTTTCAAAAAAAAAAAAATCACTGTGCAGTGGTAAATGTGACTGCATTTAAAAAGGATAGTTCACCCAAAAATGAAAATTCTGTCATTAATTACCCTCATGTCGTTCCAAACCCGTTCATCTTTAGAACACAAATTAAGATATTTTTGATGAAATCCGAGAGCTTTCTGACCCTCCACAGACAGCAACGCAACTGACACATTCAAGGCCAAGAAAGATAGTAAAGACATCATTAAAATAGTCCATGTCCATTAAAATAGTAATGTTATGAATCTACGAGAATACTTATTGTGCGCAAAGAAAACAAAAATAACGACTTGATTCAACAATTTCTTCTCTTTCGTGTCAGTCTTCGACGTGCGTTCACGACAGTACCATGACGCATACGTGTGCATTCCTCTGCCTGTAAACAGGGCGCAGCGCATTCCACTCAGATTTGATTTGCAATTGATTTCAGTGAAGTTTGACATTAGCATGAGGCTAAGCTATTAGTGTGTTATTCTAATTTGCATAAAATATTGTATAACACAAAAAATATTAGGTATAATAATCAATTAAAAAATACACTAAACTATTACTATTAACAATACATTTAGGTACAGAATGAAATGTATTTATATTGTGTCGATGCCAATACATTTCGGGATTGCTTTCTCCACATATCATACATGTGCAGCTACTTTAGAATTTCTTTCTCAAGCCAGTAAGAAGACAGGGATGAGTAGAGGGACTACAAAAATACAACTCAGGAAGTAAATGCCTTTTATTAGCAAAATAAGGGAAATGAGTGTATAAATGTTCCCCCAATATGGAGAACACACAGACAGAGGTGGCAGTTTTCTTCAAAATCACTCAACAGTATCACTTGACTCAAACATCTGTTTACAGACATTATCATATTGTTTTTTTTCTTCTTCGTGAAATCCCGAACCCCTTGTCAGTCCCTTCATCTCGCAATGGTGTTCTTGGTGACGCGTAATTCTCCAAGCAGTAAGCCATTAAAATGGCGGCCAGTGTCTGATGACAGGTGCTTGAGAGACAGATTCCAAGTCCTGCGTGCGGAGCGTCTTAGCGCCTGACAGCTGAACAGAACTCATCTCCATCTGAAGTGGCTGTTTGGTCTACTCTTGTTGCCATGGAGACCCAGAAGGTTTGGACCGCTCACTGCATTAACCATTAGCTTTCACTACATTGGCATATATATATATATATATATATATACAGTATATAAAATATACAAACGCAATAAATGTCACGCACACTCTCTCACACACGCTCACTTTCGATGCATTTGAGGATTTGTGCTCTCAGATTAGTAACGTCCAGTATGAAATTTTTTGACTTTGGAGAGATATTCAGTAGGCAAACCCAAGCAAATGGACAAAGACTGCAGAAATGCATGCGAAGGCACAAGAACCAACAAATCGGATTGAGAAGCACAATCTTCCTCTCTCCCCATAGCAACAACCGCAAAGGCAAAAAAAGTGTAACATTTTACGAGTAAAGGGGAACTCCTCTGATGCAAGAAAGCAAAATAAAAAGAAATCCCACATTTAAAAGAAACAAACTTGTGTCGGGGTGAAAAATGAACAACATGGCTGCGACGGCAACGACTATACGAACATTCGACACAATTCATTTTTAAATGCTACGTTTTAACATTTCCAGAGACAAAAACCATAAATAAAGCTGTCAAAAGTGGCGTAATATACAGCACTGGTCCAAGACCAATTTTCTCCATACTTGGTCTTGCAATCTTTCTCCAACAAAATGCACATCAAAACTGGCTTTAATTTCACCTAAAAAGGGGGGGAAAAAAAGTTACTTAAATATGACAAATAAAAAAGCCATTAAGAGTAAACTACTTATTGCAAATTTTATTTTTGTTCACACCCATTACAATACAGTATTTAACATGATTTAAAAGTGAAGTGTGGACATTTTTTTTACACCAATTTTTGCAATAAACAAAAGCAAAAATATTCAGATTCAGGATGACAAAACACATTATTTGAAACCTTTTATCATTTTTATTGCATGCAGAACTTTACAGCCAAGCCAACTGAGGAAATAACCAAACATGCTTTCCTAGAAAGAAGCTTTGACTAGTCTGATTCATGTTAGTGAATTGGTTTGTTCAGACATGAACCAGTGATAATTATTCATGGCAGGCATATTAATTTATCTTTTTCTATAGCAAAATCTTTAGTTAAATGCTGCTTTCACTGTTTTTGACTCAATTAAATGAATTAGTATACTGTTATGATTATAGATACATTACCATTCAAAACTTTGTCATTGGTAAGATTTTAAGGCTGCTTTTTTTCAGAATAAAAAACCCCACTAAAAACAGTAATACTGTGAAATAACTGTAAATATCTACAAATAACTGTTTTCTATTTTAATATATTTTAAAATGTAATTCATTCTATCAAAGCTGAAATTTTCAGCAGCCATTTCTCCAGTCTTCAGACAGTCACATGATCCTACAGAAATTCTAATATGCTGATTTGGCTCTCAAGAAACATTTTTTAATTATTATTGTCAATATTGAAAACACGGATACATTTTTTTTTTTGCTATCATGATACATATTCCCCTCGGGATTCTTTGATGAATAGAACATTCAAAAGAACAGCATTTATTTGAAATAGACATCTTTTTAACATTATAGATGTATTCACAGGCCCTTTTATCATCTGAATTATCTTTGCTAGATAAAAGTATATATTTTAAAAAGCTGTTACCCCCTTAGGAGGTAGTCCGGCCCTAAACTCATGCCATGAAGAATCAGTTCACCAAAAAATTTTAATTCTTTACCAGAACAATGAATCAACTACACACCTGACCTTTAAACACACATTTGTTCTGTAATGTTTATTCCATGATGGCTCCAGGGCAATTATGTGACTTCATCTGCAATATGAACATTAGCCGCTTTTCCACCGAAATTAGCTGGAACAATTTGTCCCAGGAACTTTTTTTCCCCCCAGAACTGTTGCTGTCTGCGTTTCCATCGCGGTCTAAAGTACCGAGAAGATTAGGCAAAGAGTCTGGTGACGTAGGTCTATGCGTGTTTCTCAATAACAAGTATGCAAATTTCGGATTTGCATCCTCTGTAGTTCGGACTTTGCGAGTTCGACTCAGGAGTGTGAACTCCCACGGACGGGACGACGCAAGTCCGGTAATTCTGCAAACAGCAGCGTACTTCATAACGTCAGTCAGCTCGCCTCGGCTACTGCAATTTTCCTCACTGTATTTACAATAAGACGAAATATGATATCATATCATTTAAACATATTAACAGACGCAGAAATGTAGTTCAGGGAACGTACATACATTACAATGAAACTAAATATTATATCAAACAGTGTTGCCTCTTTTCATTTTCTTTTTAACATATTAATAGATTAATAGAATAAAGACCAAAGATTACCTGTTAGATTTACCCAAAACGAATTATATCTTGTTTAACCACTACAGAGACATCAGAGCCAGCGGCAAATGTCAGAAGGACTAGCCGAGTTGAGGCTGCTCTCGTCGGGAAACATGAGCACTGAGCGCCCGCTGATCGCGTGGAGCTCACGTCCCCAAAATCGGCGAAGCACATTTTCAAATAGGCGCCGTCTTTATAAATAAACCGCAGATTTGAGTTTCAAACAACTACATTCTAGCCTGAAATACTTTTAAAACTACATTTCATGACACAATAACAGTAATATTTTTAAATATTATGCGAATAAATGGTGGTTGAAATACAATGCTGCGTGAACTCAACCAATCAGCATGTTCAGCGCCTAAGTCCCGCCCCCCGAAAGTTCCGGACCTTTGAGAAGGTACTACCTCACGAGCAGGGACTTTCTGAGGGGCAAATTTTTACCCGGAACTTTATTTAGATCCTGGTTCCTGCGGTGGAAACACACCGAGTACCGGCCCAAAGTCCCTAGTTCCTGGGGAAAGTTCCTGCGGTGGAAACGGGGCTATTGATTATTTAGCATATAAACATGCACTGTGTGGCCAGCATGCCATCATGGCACACTTGACATTTAGGATGCTGATTCTCACCAGATACAGGCCAGCTTCTAGAATAGTCCGCAGTCCTTCAGGTTGTTCTTGATGATGACATCGGTCACTGCGTCAAAGACAAATTGCACGTTCTTGGTGTCGGTGGCGCAGGTGAAGTGAGTGTAGATCTCCTTGGTATCTTTCCGCTTATTCAGATCTTCAAACTGACACTGAATGTAGGCAGCGGCCTCTTCATATGTATTTGACCCTGTGAGATGGACAGGAGATATTTTCAATATGAGGAAGTGATGTCACTTGAACAAAATAAAATAACCAGAAACAATGTAATGTATAAAGGAACACCACTGCAGTTTGCACCAATTCTTTAGAATGGCCCATGTATGTGTGTGTTAAATAATAATTTAGAGCTTTGTCCACATTTTATATAACATTTTATCCAGGGTTATTATTGTCAACTGAAACTAACCAAAACCATTAAAAAAACTTAATTTAGTTTGAAGTTAATTAGTTAGTTGAAGTACTAATTTAACTAAGATTACAATTAGAACTTAATTTAAAAATATAGACATGTTAAAATAACAACAAATGAAAAAAAAAAAGACAAAACACAACAAAATTACTAACATTTCAATAGAAAAAAAAAAAAAAATCTTAATTCAAATTTGCTCTGGCTATCAACCCCTTAACACTATATATATATATATATATATATATATACTGTATTTATATATAATACAAAAAAATACAAAAGTGGAAAAAATATGGGGAAAAATTTCAATAGAAAAAAAAAAAAAAATCTTAATTCAAAATATTAACAAAACCTATATATCAATGATACTAAAATAACAAAACAGCATTTTATTTTTAGGTTTAGAATTCTAACAATATATTTATATATTGTGTGTGTGTGTGTGTAAAATCCAGTATCGGGGTCTGACCTGCGTATTCTGGGTAGCAGATGGTGAGTGGGCTCCTCTTGATTTTCTCCTCAAACAGATCTTTCTTATTGAGGAACAGAATGATGGATGTGTCCGTGAACCACTTGTTGTTGCAGATGCTGTCAAACAGCTTCATGCTCTCATGCATTCGGTTCTACAGAAAAAGAAATTGGTTGATGGAACATAAGAAATAAGGACTAGTGAACTAGAAAGTGGGTGTCGATAGAGCATCTTGGCTTAGAAGCATCTTTAAACACCATATTATATTACACAATAATATACACGGTCTACTCTGTGATCATTTAATGACTGCATGCCGAGCTTTGTATCGAGTTGCCTTTCAATGCAGGTCAAAAGCTTGATTTATGGAATATAAGCTGGGGGTGGAGATGTGCTTTAGCCCTCTGCCATTTACCATTAAATCAATCAATATATGTTTGCGAATGCTTAATAAAGTAGGACTCAAACTGAATCAATATGACATTGACATGGATTATATGATAAATGCAGGAATTGGTTTTCTCGTCAGGCTTAGTTTACCCCTCATTCATCCAATACAGATTCACATATACACTGTAATTCTGTATTTTTTTAAATAACAGGAAGTATTTTCGTACCATCTCCTCATCTTCGGCCAGCACCAGGTCATAATCGCTCAGTGCCACACAGAAGATGATGGCAGTTACACCTTCAAAACAGTGGATCCATTTTTTCCTCTCCGACCTTTGACCCCCAACATCAAACATCCTGAAATACATGACATTTTAAAATGGTTATCAAGTTTCTGTAACTCGAAACTAGTGAGCTGCCTTGCTAAATTAAGGGGCATACTAGCTGAAATGAAACCACAGAAATTATTGATGTGGTACTTGCTACATAGGCTGCAATTCTGTGTGCCCCCATAAAAATAGTGTAGACTCAACTCACAATTGCTTTTAATAGGGTTTGGTGTTAGCATGTTGCGAAGCTACTGCTGTGATGATCTAATAACCATACAAATACAGAGCATATGCACGGATATTGAGTTGGACATTAGTTTTCAACTCTGAAAGTTCTATAGCTAAAAATGGGCAAAGAAACTGACGATATGTTCTTCCTCTTCCTGTCTGAATCAGAGTGCAAACCAGTTCGAGAGTGACACTTCTCTATTTGTCTCTCTCTGCTTCTCTTTTCTATCACTCTTGCACATGATTGCAGTCACACAGTATTTGCACAGTCTACCAAGATCTGACAACAAAACTCAATACAAATATTATGAAGTAGTTCCTAATAGTTCAATCTGTGGATATGCAAATGCTTATCATATTATGTATACTATGCATACTTCATTATGTGGTCATATTGACCTATATATATATATATATATATATGTGTGTATATGTGTGTGTGTGTGTGTGTATATAAAAGAAAAATAATAAATCGATTTTTTAACCATTAAATGAATAGGCTAGTTCACCCCAAAAAATTTTGTCATCAGTTACTTACCCTCATGTCGTTCCAAACCTGTATGAGTTTCTTTCTTATGTTGAACACAAAAGAAGATATTTTTAAGAATTTTGAAGAACCAAACAGTTGTTGGTCCCCATTGACTTCCATAGTAGAGAAATAAATACTATGGAAGTCAATGGGGACCAATAACTGTTTGATTATCAGCATCTTCAAAATATCTTTTTTTGTTCAACACAAAAAAGTAACTCATTCAGATTTGGAACGACATAAATGATGACAACATTTTCATTTTTGGGTGAGCTATTACTTTAAGATTTTTGTATTATAATTTCAGTGAGAATTAAACATATTTTTCCTCAATTTTCCATTACTGTAATATTTAGTAAATAATTTTTTATTACAATCAGCATAAATTCAGTACAACAAATACTGCCATAATGTATAATTGTACAATTACATTCTACAAATGCAAATCTCAATTTAAATATTTGTAAGTATCTAAAATATTGTGTAGTATATATTTAATAGTAATATTTTCTCACTTTAATAATAACAAGATTTTATTGCATTATTGTAAGTTATTGAGAATTGGAGAACAAAAGGTGTCTTAATGAAATAGGCTTGATTTTTGTGCAAAATATAATTTATTTTTCTTGTGACTTTGGGTTGAAATAAGATTAGCCAAGAATATATTTTTGGCAGTTTTGGAATAAAGCAACCTGAAGTGCTCACTTGAAGTGGAGGTCTTTGAAAGTGAAGTGTGTCTCGACAATGCCTGTGGTTTTGACTCGGGTCCTCAGCACATCCTGTTGAGTGGGTATGTAGGTGGCCTGCGATATTCTGTCTAAATCATTCAGGTAGCTGTTGAGATATAACAGGAAGGAAGGGGTTAGTTCAGATGAAATTAAGTTTGTGGTTTAAGTTAATCTCTTGGCCCAAAAGTCCCGCCAGGGTTTCTCACGAGACGGGAACAGGGGTAGACCGGCAATCCCTGGGTGGAGATGATCCCCTGCTAAAACAAATTTTTATACACACACACACAAGGCCACTCAAACAATTGCACAACAGTCAGCAGGGCCGTTTCCTGAAAAACAAACATTGTGCCATAACGTCTGCCAACTGCCCACTTCATATGATGTTCACGGTCCTGACTAAAATGGTGTGACGGAGGCCACAGTTTAGCTCGCGATTTGGTAATGCTTAGTAACGGCGTAAACAAAAGCCAAACTCCATTACGCACTCACAAATATACAAATGAGACATCTACCACACACACACAAATTTACATAGAAGCTCTGTTCCACAACCTAGCGAGCTACCCACTTACCCACGGTCATGTTACTGATGAAAACACCTTTCTAAAAGGAAACCTTATAAGGCACTTCATTTTAGATTAATTATAAAACTCAACATTCAAATATATTTGTAAAAGAGATGGCAATCCTGGAATCCCCCCCAAAAACGTAGAGAGAACAGAACAGCAGAGATAGATATTTTCAATACTGAAAAGTGCCATTCAATACTGGAAAGTACAGATAATACCATAGTTTTATTGATAATGAAACTGTAAATCTTTTTCAAATTTCACACTTTATTTTAAGGTCCAATTCTCGCTATTAACAAACCATTA